CTACCCCTTTGGGGACCTGAGAGTATTATCATATGGGCATCAGTATCTAGGAGCTCCATAAAAGTCTGAATCCCCCCCCCCGACCCCCGCTGCTTTCCCTTCTATCCTGACAGGGACGTATGGCCTCTGGTCCCCAGTGGGGACCCAAAAACCTTCACCTCATCCCTAACTGTAGTAATTAACCCTATACATTTGAGTCTGCAATGCATTTCCATCAAACAGATACCCCAACCATGCTGCATGAGATACACCTGGCAGATATCCATGTCTGTCCTTCAGTTTTCCTGTTTCACTTTCAGAAAGGACTTCATTTCAACAGTTTTGTTTTTATCAGTGGTTTTGCATTGGATGAAAACAGGTCTTATTTGAGGCCTGCAAGCAACTGGATCAGGTGAATTTTCCTGCATGAAACCCTTCTACTTCTCTCAGACATCATTTGTAACCCCTGAGACACCATGGGAGTTGGGGGTGGCGTGGGAGCACAAAGGCATCCAAGAGGTAGAATATAGTTTCCCTGCTTTTTTTGGGACCCACTTCACGTTTCCACCCTCATCCATTGCACCAGTTCATCCCTGTAAATAAGGAGATTATCAATATCCTCTTTATTCCCCTGTGACCAGAGGGAGGCCAGCACCTCAGTCAGTCTCTCACCACCACCCATCCCTAGAGCTAGCACCACTCTCTCAATGGGGCTGACTAGTCCTTTTGTTTCCCGCATGCCATGGTCTATTCTGTTGGCTCCTCTGTATCTCTTGGTAAGGAAGTGTTCCAGGCCCAAGGCGCATTCTCATGAGGCCAAGTGGAGGTTAGAAGACTGCATACACAAAACTGCCTTTCCCAGCAGTACATAACAATGTCCCTCAAGACCACTCCTTCTCTTCGTACCAAATAAAATAAAGAAAAGAAAAAGGGATACAAGGAAACTTTTGGAGGTGATGGATATGTTTATTGCCTTGACTGTAATAGTATCATGCATGAACACGTGTCCAAACTCATCAAATGTTTTTTTGTATATCAGTTATATCTCAATAAAACTGTTAAAAAAAATTTATTCGTTCTCTTATTCCCTTGACCCCTGCTACATACAGACACATCTACTCCTTGACAGGACACCTGAATTTGGTTAATTTTAAGTCTTTCACATTATTCCCATTGAAGCATTTATATTATACGTATGCGTTTTAATAACAATCAGTATTTTCTCCTAGAAACATGAATTATTGTCCCTTAAAAAATACAACTCTTTATTAAATCAGGCCACTATGCTGCATAATACTGTTTATAGCTCTTAACATTTTTTTCCAAAAGTAATGTTGCAAAAATATTGATAGGTTAAAGAGTCTCTGACAAATATGCACAGCCCCCTCCCTTAACAAATTGTTTTATCTTTCTATGTTTCTTTTCTGTTTTCATGTATTTATATAGTTATTCATTCAAAAATTATTTATTGCAGTGATTATGTGTTAAGCACTGTGGTAAACAGTATTTAGATTTGAATAAGATTTTGTGTAATGGGAGAACAGTCAAGCATTTAGGTACGGTAATGGGAGTATCTTCAGAGTATAGTAGAGCAGTTATCAAAAAGGCAACTGGAGTCTTCCTCTAGCTAAGTTATTTTGCAGTTTTCTAAGTATTTTTATAGGTACAACTTTATTTAATTGTTAAGTTCCTGTAATGTAGGCAGGGCATGTTATAGGTGAAGAACAAAGACTTGAAAGGAGAAGTAGTTGATTAGGAGGCCACTCTGGGCAAAATGAAGCTAAAGCTTGATTAGTGTCTTTGCTCTACCAATAATTTGCTGTGTGAACTTGGATAGATAGAGTAATTTCATCTTTTTTGGCCTTATTTTCAAATCTCTAGTTGGAGAGAAGTAAGGAAACTACTTACATGCAATCTCTGGGATTGTGATTTTTACAATGGAACAGCTGTTCTTAGTCTTTTGCTCACCCATTGTTGATCTCTTGTAATTGTGTGATACTTGTTGGCTTTCCACTTGTCTTGCCTCCAGGAATACCATGTCCTGTGAGCCATCTCCACAGATCCCCTGGGCTGCCCTTCCACCTTGCTGCCCATTATAATTATTATGCCCCCCTTGCATCTCATAGGTAGGTGACGGTACCTTGTCTCTGCTATTCTGTTTGAGTATCTGCTACTGCCAATCCTAGCCTACAGAACGCAGTCACTCTGGAGCTTCTCAGTAATGCCTCTGCCCCTATCGCCAATCTTTTCCTGATTGCCGTGGTAAACAGTATTCTCTGGACCCTCCTGAGGAACATACTCAGCTGAGAGGTCTTCTCAGCTTATATAAGAGATCCTTTCTGGAATGCTTACACTTTCCTGTGTCTCTAATGTCTGCCACAATGATTCTGGCATCTGTTTCATTTAGTATGCACCATTGCTTTTTCCAAGAGCCATCCAGCAATGTGTTAGGCCATTTCCAGGGGCCCTCAACAAGGCCTTAAATCTTGAGTTAACAGAAAGTTCCCCATAGCCAAAAATTCTCCCATATTCTGTTTTATATTCCCACTCCCCTGTCCACTACTCTCAGCACCCACTCCCTAGCCTATCCTGGTTCTTTCTGGTTCAAACTGGCCCATCCTGCAGCACTTGTAACATGTAATCTGTCTCCTCCCTTAGCTGACCCAGTACTTCCCCATTTGGACCATGCTGAGATTTGACCTTGGTCTGGTGGCCACAGGGGAAGGTTGGTGTAGATCGTGAGGAGGGCTACTAGCATTGTCAAGGCACTGCTTCACTTGAGGCTTCCATATAGTCTTGGGGGTGGGGGGACAGATGGGACATGCTATCCTCTAACGAGGGGACATGAGCCTTATTTTCAGGCTCACGAGTTCGTGGGAAACTTGGAGTTCAAGGTTCTCAACTGCATCCACCCAGATATTCTTTAGACTTGTACATTTTTCCTCTATGGTCCTGATTTTGACTTAGGAGACTTGCCTGGGATGCAGAGTCTCTTAAATTCTGCCACCCTTAAAATTGGGTCCTAGGCCTAGTCTTCAGTATGATCAGCTCTTTATCTACAAAAGATAAGGTTCTTTAAATGTTACAAAAGAGGTAACACTTGCTTTAAACTGGTAATTAATTAGCCTGTCATTTTCTCTCTTTGGTATCTCAGTGACACTTAGTCACCCAGTTCCATAGTCCTTATAGTTACCATTCACCCTGCTCCTTCAAATGCTAGGCATTTTGTATAAGCTAAGTGTGTGTCCCCTTTTACCCACAGGTGAAATAGCAAATGGCTGCTATCCTATTTCAGAGACTATCAGTACTTCACCTACCACCAGTAATTGGGTCCTTCCTCATAGTAATCCATCCTTCAAATGATCCAACCCCAGAATCCCATCATTAAAGTCTTCTTTCTAGGACCATGCTTGGTACCATCTGTTTAGGTGACATTCCATAGAAGCCAAGCCTGAGTCAGATTTTTGTGCTAGTGATGCACTGAGGTTTGTACTCTGAAGAGAAGCCTATAAGAAAATGAGGAAAATAGGATAAAGCAGGAAATACACTAACAGAAACATGGTTTCAGGAGAAGTCTTCTTTTAGCACGCTCTCACAAGGAACTTTGAAGAATAATTTGCACCTCAGAGGTTGTCCTACCCTGAGGCAAGGAGGTTGGGCTGTTTTACCCTATATCATTCCATGCTGGCTGTGGGCCTCAGCCTGGAGGAAGGAAAGGATGTGCACAGGAGAGGCAAGGTAGAGCATGACCTCCCAGGACTCTCTATGCCAGGTGGTTCTTTTCAACCTTAGTCAATTCTCCAGAGACAGGTGGAGCTATGAGACATTAGCTGTCAACACAGGAGTAAGTGGGAAGATTAATTAGCCTTTTCTGTTAGGATACGGGACCTGGACCTGGCATCAACAGCATCTGCTAAGGTATCTCACGTGCTAAAGACTTTACCAAGAAACATCATCTTATTCAGTGGTGTGCTAGAGCTACCTTGAATCAGCTTGCAAGAGAGTGATTGTGCACATCCCTTTGCAAATACAAGTTCAGTAACATCAATTGGTAGCTTGAAATTGGCCATGGAGGAAGTATTTATTTTCCAGAAATCTGCAAATGCAACATTTCAGGGCCCCATCCCCCAGAGCTGGTTAAAACTTTTCCCAGCATACCTCTGTATTTAATCCTTATAACAACCTTCTGAAGTTGGTATCACTATTTTATAAATGAGAAAACTGAGTATCAGAGTGATTAATATACTTGCTATCTCTCATGTAGCTAATAAGCTATAGAATTGGAAATAAAATTTAGTTTTGTCTGATTCCAGAACTTGAGCTTCTACTGTTACAGCACATTGCTCCTTTTTCGACATAGAAACTTCAGTCTGCTTTGAATCTTTTGAGAGAGTTGGCTAAATTTCTAGATGATCCTGAATGTACTTTGATCACCAACATCATCTACTCCAAGTAATGACTTTATTAAAGATATTCCACAAGTAAATAGCAGCCCCAGCACACTTCACTCTATTATTTTGCCTTTGATTTAAACATTTGCTCGTTATCTGTTTTCCTAACTGCTCTTTTTGGAATGTTAAAGGCATCCAGTAAATATTTGTTAAATGAATAAACACTAACTTCAATATGAAATTAGGTTTTCCTGCAGGATTATTCAGTAACATGAAGGACATATTAGCATACCCTTCTCTATTTAAAATCATAGGTTAAAAATCCTCTCAAAGTGCCACAGTGTAACATGGGAAATACTCCATGTTGAATCAGAATTGATACATGTTTGAAAAAGTTGTAGCTTACTCTCAAGTAACTAAGGGGTTTTCACTGCGTTTTTAATCAAATATAAGTGCAACACAGACTACACAATTGCTCAGTTCCACCCTATGTTGAATTGCAGTATGAAGTAAATGGTTGAATGGTTAAACTGAAAATTACTTTAGTCTTCATATAGACTTGAAAATCTTTCCAACCTTTTTGACATGGAATTGATCACGTCTATTGTGTTTTTATTTGTATTTCTGCAGCAAGGAGAAGTCAGGCTGAAGTGTTTGAAAGCTCTACAGAGTTTATATACCAATAGAGAATTATTCCCCAAACTGGAGCTATTCACAAACCGATTCAAGGTAAGCATTAAGAATGCTTAGCTTATTTTATTTTTCACTTTAAAAATGCTAGTTATGGATAGTTTCACGAATGATATTAAGCCAAGTGTTTAGTTCATATTCTTTACTGCATATTCTTTAAACCCATATTAAATATATGAATGGATCTCTGCTTTACAAAAGTTATTACCAACATGAGTTCTTTATTGCCTTTAACAGAAGGTTCTCCTGCTTAAAAGATTTTATTTATATACAGCTTGTGATTATATTAATTTTGCAAGTTAAGATTTCTTTGTCTCAGTGTTAGAGAATGCCAATTGATGAGAAAGATTTTAGATTATGAATATTTATATTAATATCTCCTTTGTGTAAGTAAAGCTATGATGATACGATTTCAAGGGTAAAGCTTTTCATTTAATCTATTGTTAGTCTTGGATTTACTCGCCAAAGAACATTACTTTAGCTTTCTCCCAACTTATTTTCTGCTCCTGGTTGGTTTGATTTGTAACTTTTTTTCAGGATCGCATTGTATCAATGACACTTGATAAGGAATATGATGTTGCTGTGGAAGCTATTCGATTGGTTACTCTGATACTTCAGTAAGTATAATATTTGTTAATATTTTAATTTAATCTGTTGATATTTTAATGTCTTTTTCTCAGCATTATTGATATACTTCACATGTATAACCCTAATAAATATTCTCATCACTTTAGGTTCTGCTTTTACATTTTAAGGTTAGGTTTGAAATAAAATGTTTTGTTTTTCTCTCTGTTCGTTTTTTATTTTGACTATTGTGTTTCCGCCAAATAAAAGTTCTTTTATGCAGTCCAGAAGAAATATCAGTTAAGAAACATACTTTTTGATTTAAGAAAAAGAGAGAGAGAAGGTTTCAAAGGGGATAGGTTTGTCAGATGGGCTTCCTTATAATTGTATAAAAGTAGGAGAAAGGAAATAAGGCATTTAAATTGTGTCAATATGATAGAGGTTTTTAAATAGTGATAGTAAGTTTTATCTGTAGAGCTTTGACTAAAAACTAGGAAGAATCTGTGTGAGAGAATGTAGATCTTAGCAAAGTCATTACAAATCCTCCCATCCCTACTTTGTGATGCCACATCCATCATGTACCAGATGTCATCTTTGCCAGGGTCTTTTATGGTTTTGATGTCTTTTTACCTCTTTTTGCTCTAGTACTTTACTCTTTCTTATTATGGCTTTATAATATAGTATATGTTACATGTTATACATATGGCCTTCTCTTATTGGGTGATTCCTTTTTCTTTACCTTTCTTTTTAAAATCCACTTAGCTCCTTGTGGATTTTTTTTCTTCTATATGAATTTTTAAAGTACATTTGTCTATTTCCTCAAAAACTTTGGCTGGGATTTTAAATATTGGAACTGCATTTAATTTTATGATAAAATTTAGGAGAGAATGGAATTCTTTACAGTTATATATTATTTATGCATGAAAATGATGCATTTCTTTATTAAAATCTCATTGGGTCTTTTATGTAAGGTTTAAATTTTTTCACAGAGGTGTTTACATTATTTATTAGGTTAATTCTTAATTACTTTATGGTTTTGTTGTCATGTGATTTGTATTTAGCATTTTTGTTGCTGAGGAAGAGAAACCTTTAATTTTTATGTTGGTCTTATATGTGCAACCTATTAGAACTCTTATGCATTCTGATGTTTTGTTGATTCTCTGGGTTTACTATGTAGCTTATATCGTCTGCAAACAATTTCAGTGTTGTCTCCTCTGTTCCTAACCTTAAAACTTTTGTTTCATTCTCTTGTCTAATTATGTTAACCAGTACTTTTAGCGCTATAAAAGTATCAATGATGGCACATTGTTTTTGTTTTTGTCTTTAGAAGGCATCTAAAGTTCTCTGTTTCTGTGATTTCTGAAATAGGTGTTTTTTTCTTTGATGAGGAAGATTGGCCCTGAGCTGATATCTGTTGCCAATCTTCCTCTTTTTGCTTGAAGATTGTCCCTGATCTAATGTCTGTGCCAGTCTTCCTCTGTTTTTTATGTGGGACACTCTCACAGCATGGCTTGATGAGTGGTGTGTAGGTCCACACCCGGGAGCCAAACCTGCAAACCCTGGGCAGCCAAAGTGCAGTGTGCAAACTTATATGCCACTGGGCCAGCCCCTGAGATAGGTTTTTGATACGTGATAAAAAGTTCCTTTGTTCTGAGTTTTCTGGGATTTTCCTTTCATACATTGATGAGCCTGAATCAAATTGATAGATTTGTCTAATGTCAAACCACCCTTGCATTTCTAGAATAAATCCTATTTGAACATGATATATTTGGTTTTACTTTATTTTACTTAAATGCAATGTTATTTTTACTATCTTATTTAGGATTTTCACATGTGTGTTCATGTATAAATTTGACATTTTTTTCTTGTCTATTATCCAACGTTGAAATCAAAGTTATAGTCTCTTTATGAAATACCTTCGATAGTTTCTCACCTTTTTTCTTTTCTGAGACAAATATTCTGTGACAGAGATTAGTTCTTCCTTGAAATCTTGGGAGAATTCTCTTGTTAAAACCGTATCAATTTTGAATTTCTCTTGAGGAAAAGGTCTTTACTATTTCTGCTTCCTTCGTGGTTATCTATCTAAATTAGCTTTTGTTTCTTATTGTGCTAATTTCGGCTTTTTGTAAATTTTTTTAGTATAGCAATTTCATCACAGTTTTCGAATTTATTATTTTATAGTGCATATTTTTATTACTTCAAAATCTCAGCTGTTTCTTTTGTTAATTCCTATTTTTCATCTTCTATTTTATTTGTAAAAAAAATTGTTTTTCTTGATCAGTCATGCTAGAAGTTTGTCCTTATTATTTTCAGAGAACGAGCTTGTTTTGGTTCCTTTTTTTGATGCTTTTTAATAGTCATATTTAAAGTAATAAAAATACCTTTAAGTACTACTTATTTTACTGGTCTCCTGAAAATTTGGACATATAGTATTTTCATAAACAGTGATTCTTAAATATTTTTATTACGTTAATGATTTTCAGTTTAATCATGGGTTGTTCAATGGTATGTTTTTGTTCTCCCCAATTATATCAGGTTCTTTTAAACCATCCTTTCTATTTTATTGTATTATTTGAGAAGGTGTTCTGAGTGGTTGGGTCAATTTTCTCAATTTCCTAAGTATATGTAAAAACAAATGTAACTACGTTGTGTATATAGTTATGTGTTTAGATTCATTGTTTTGAGTTTATTTACTGTGTCATTCAAAATATCTATACCATTGCTTATTTTTTATCTACTTAAGAGGGATGTGTTAAAGTCTCGAAATACTGTTGTTGGTGTATATCTTTCCTTATAAGTTGTTGCTTGGTATACTTCAGAGTATATAGATTGATAGATGTATTCCTGATGTCTTCATGAACACTTCTGATAGTGTTCATTTTATCCTTACATACCATTCTTTCTTGTTGTTTATGAAGAGATTTTTCCTTTTCAAATCTATTTTAAAATATTAGGCCTCTAGTTACATTTTTCTTGTAAATTTCACAAGTTTATTAATATGTTTCCCTTGAACAAAAAAGTACCCTGACATTCTCCCCACCCACCTGTTTCATTGGAATCATCTAGAGTTTAAGATCTGTGTTGTTAAGTATATACTTTTTTTTCTTGGTTCCTTTTTTTATTTAGTTTCAGTGCTTGCTCATTTAGATAGCAGTAAACTTTCCTTTGATATTTCCCTTATTTCCAGGGAAGACTAATTATCTCATAGACTCCTCCAAGATTATTTTTTCCTGCTAGGAGAGTTTTCAAACTATCTGAGACCTTGTTTGGCAAAAATCCTATTTTCGTCATGAATTTAGAAGGTGGTTTGGCTGGTTTCAAATCTCTGTTCTTAAGGTTCTTTTCTGCATTTTGATTGGAGGAAATAAGAGCAGATCATGTCTTATTTAAGTGGTACAGTTATGGCCCTCCAGCTGTGTCAGATAACTTAATTCATTAGATACATTCATCCTCTCTGGATTTCTCAGAGCTCATCCCACTCTAGGTATTTGTGACTACACCTCCCAGAGTGGACAGTGCCTCCTCTGGCTATTTACTTTATGACGCAGCCCCTAGCTTTCAGGTTTCCTCTGTTGGAGTTGTTTGCCCCATGGGTAGTCTTGATGGGCAAAGTCCACTATTCAGGCTAGCTCCCTTTAAATATTCCATATTTGGCCTACAGGAAACAGACCATTTATGAACGAAGAAAGTATGGCTTACTCCCCTTATAGCCCTCTCTCAATCTACTACCATAGGTTGCTCTAGTCAGCTTTTCACATTAAGACTTTTTTAAGCCCTGCACCAAGAACCATTTCCTAAACCTCTTCATAATTGTAAGGAATGTTTATAAAGTTTTCATAGTGATTCTCTGAAACTTTGTGCTCCAGTTTGGCTTGGGGAGATGGTTTCAGAGTACCACAGTACTCTGACGTATTTGTTTTCTTTTTTTTTTTCTTTTTTGCTGAAGAAGGTTTGCCCTGAGCTAACATCTCTTGCCAGTCTTCCCCTATTTTGTGTGTGGTCTGCAGCCACAGCATGACCACTCACAGATGAGTGGTATAGGCCTGCACCTGGGAACTGAACCCAGGCTGCTGAAGTGGACTGTACTGAACTTAACCAATAGGTAATTGGGGCTGACCCTCTGAATCTTTCTTTTGAAAGAAACCCTTTCTACCCATTGTATTGCTCAATCTCCTAATTTCTGTTTACTTACTATTTTGGTGAGTAATGAGCTAAGGATCACAAAACTAGCTTTCCAGTTTCTTATAGCATTTGCATGAAATGATCTGGCCTTACTTTTCTTGGTTTGTGGGATCTCTACCAAAGCTTCCCGAAACAACAGATAAAGTCATATTTAACATTCTGTTACACTTCCTTTAAATCCTTTTTCTATCCATCTGGTAGTTCTCCTTTTGGTGTAGATTATTTACCTTTTACTTATGAGATGTCTTGTTAAATTTTTTTTCCTATAAGTTTAACTTTCTATTGAGGTTGTCAGCTAATTGAGCTAATGATATATAATTGGGTAAAGGGGTTAAAACTTAGGCGTTAGCCTTGTGCCCCTCCTCATAATTTTGGGGTATAAGTTGAGCATGAGCAGAGACATTTGTTCTTCAGGACAGAAAGCCTCTGTTTATTATAATTTGTAACTTTTCCCTGGCAGTCTTAAAAACTGTCTCCTTCATTTGTAATCTCATAACCCTCAGTATATGGAAGGGATATAGAGGGAGAGTTAGTTCATGAGCTAGCCAATTTGCCTATACCTATTGTTAATTTCCTGGTGCCTATTGGTTCCAGCACAACACTGTTGTTAACCACTCACACTACCGCTGGCTACTGTTTTTGCTTCACAGAATTAGAACAGACATTGTTGAGAGGGAAAAGAAGTAATAGTTTAAAAAAATGCTTCTAGCCTATCTTCCATCTTTGATATCCAGCTCTTTTTCATTCACTGTGTTTCTCCCTTATACTGTGATGCAACCGCCTTCTGCAGCTGCAAACGTCACTCTAATTTTATGTTTATTTGACAGTTCCCTCAACCTCCTCCTAGCTTCTGAGGCATCTCCAGGATTGAAATTCTAGGGATTGAGTATATACCCCTACATCTTGTCAAGAACCTGTACAGCACAAGAATTCTATACTTCATTTAGTCATCATTAATCTATAATCATATCAGACATTTTTAAGCACGTTAATAGTCAGGAAATAGACTTCCCTTTTTTGGGAAAAAAAACTGCTTAAAGACACATTCCAACAAACTAAGAAAAGGCTCAAACTTTAATGCATGAATGGAAAGGTGGAAAAATTGTATTTAGTAAAGGAATAGTTGTGACTACTGAATCCATTTTATATAGAAAGAACACTAAATAGTATTGTAAATGTAGTGATAAAATATAACTTAAAATAGACAATTCTAGAAAGAAGTTACATAGCATAATAATAATTTAACTGTCTGAAACAGGGACTAATATATTCCCAGTGCCTATCAACCACAATCTTACGCACATTTAAAGAACTTGAACTAATTTGAGCTATTATCTCAAGGTATTAATAGTCATTGTCTATGGGTGTATGTGGGAAAGATTGTGGACATTTTATTTTCTTGTTTTATTTGTATTTGCAGAATTTTTTATAATGGTTAGATGCCTCATAATTAAAGAGAAATATTGCTTTCAAAGTAAGATTAAAAGGAGATGAAAATAAAGTCAATATGCCTTGAGCTTTTGTAATGAACTTTACAAAATATAAATAAAGGTAGAACTGAAAGTAAGTACTTGTTTTGGCTCAGATGTTACTTTCTGAATTTTTCAGTGGAAGTGAAGAAGCTCTTTCCAATGAAGACTGTGAAAATGTTTACCACTTGGTGTACTCAGCACATCGCCCTGTTGCTGTGGCAGCTGGAGAATTCCTTCACAAAAAGTGAGTGAATTATCTTTAAAACTAGGTTCCACTTTTGTGTTTTGTTTTGTTGTTTAAGCGTTAGTAGAAGAGAGTAATAGTGACTGAAAGCAGTGCTAGAAGTGGCCATTTCAAATTCTGTGGGCTGTAATATCCTCACAGCCTATGTGCACATCATGAATCACAGCCCTGAGAATGATGTCCCCTGTGACATATCCTTTTCCCTGAAATCTAAAAGGATGGTTCTCAGCTAGGAGTGTGAGTGGAGATTGGGAGAGTGCATGAAGTTTATATAAGTTTCTCAAGATAAATTTGTAATCTAAAATCACCTTCAAAATGCCTTCCAACTTTTCATGTTCTTTTTCATTCTTTCTGTTGAGATGAGGATTATTTTAGTTGGTAATCCATAGTGATTCTGAAAATTATGTATACAGTTGTAGTTTAAATAAAGCAAAACTTCATCTGTTTTTTCAGACAAAGCATAGAGCTATTGAGAGTTTATGAATGTAATTAAACATACTTATGAAATATATTTTTGATCATGGTCTACTGTATATGTCCTATAATTTATTAGTAGATTAATTCTTTAATTAATTTATTTAATTAATTGGATTAGTAGGTTTAATTCTTAAAATGTAAACATATTCTTGTGTGTGATACCTTTTGCTTTGTTTTCAGTTTTTTGTTCATAGATTTAATTTAGTGACTTTGATCATTGGTGAGTGAACCCAGAAGTCCAGTACATGTAGTAATTTGTGATTATGCTATGCACAGATATAAATCATGCACTGGGCAACTGTTGTGCATGGATGATTAACTTTAATAATGAGAAGGCCTGGCCCTTCATCCAACATCTGCATCAACAAACTGTTCTCTACTCAGTGGTACCTCTCAAAGTGGGAAAAGTTGTTTCTATGTAAAAATCTTTAAGAAGGAAGCTGGCTACTAGTGCATGCTGATAATGAAAGTGAGGCAGAAAGCCAAGATTTTCAAGCGTGACTTTTAAAATAATACATGGAATTTGCCAGTGACTCGGGCATCTATGGCTAATAGAATAGTGTTATTTCCATGTTTATCTTGAGGTGTCATAAATATCAAGAGTGTACTCTAGTCTTAACTTCCCTTACTTTTCCAGGACTATTATATTCTAATTAGTCTCTGTTCTCTACTTAACTTTTCAAAAAGCATTGTGTTTTTAGAAAGAATTGATTGCTTCCATAGTTTCAAAGAAAAAATAGACTAAAAAAGGTTGGTTCTCTACAGAATAGAGGCCATAAACTGGTAGCATTTGAGTCAGAAAGAGTCCTTGAATATATTTGATTTTATCCATATTGTATTTTTCTAAGTTTGAAATACTTGCCAATTCTTCTCTCTCTCTTTTTTTTTTTTTTTTTTTTTTTGAGGAAGATTGGCCCTGAGCTAACATCTGTTGCCAATCTTCCTCTTTTTGCTTGAGGAAGATTGTCACTGAGCTAACGTCTGTGCACATCTTCTCTGTTTTGTATTTGGGATGCCACCACAGCATGGCTTGATGAGCAGTGTGTAGGTCTACGCCCAGGATCCAAACCCGCACACCCCAGGCCACCAAAGTGGAGTGCACGAACTTGATCAATATGCCACTGGGCTATCCCCCCAAAATTTTTAAATTGTAATATTTTACATAAAAATCCACAAGTATAAGCCTCCATTATTTCTTATTTCTTTGTGAAAATGAAACCAATTCCTATACAAATGAAAGCTTCACTCAGTGAATTTGTTTTATGCCCCTGCCCTGGAGATATTCACAGTTTCAGAACTTTTGATTCTTAGTGATATCTTTGAGCATTCCCCACCACTTAATATTGTGATCTTTTAAAATCTTAACAAGCTGTAGAGTAGCCCCAAGAATTCCATGATTAAGTTTTAAAAAAAAATGCATGTGTGTGCATACGTACATAGTCTGTTTTGTAGTCTAGTTTATGAGCTATACACAAGCTTAACCAAGCATCCAAAAAGTAGTAAAACATGTCTGAAATGAATATTTTAATGTTAGAAAAATTAAGCTAATTCCTTAGTACCTTATATTTATATTATATATAGTGAATGCAATTATCCAAATGTGTACATTTCAATTATAAAGTAGCCGCATATTTTCCATTTGTTCCCCCCTCCAAAAGCCACCCGAATAAACACAGCTTTCTCTTAAACCAATCTGATAGCTATGCAGATGTAACTTTAAGATAATACTCTAGTCTTCTCCCTATGCCATATACTTTCCCTCACCCCGCAAAAAAAAATTTAACTTGCCTGTACTCATTTTCTGCTTGAGTTTGGTTTATTTTTATGTTGCATGAAATTATTCCTATTTTATTGTTATTTGGCCTCTTATCAGAGAATCCTACTGTGACTTCTGTTTCTAAACTAGCACACTCTATATCCCCATCCCTAGTTGCTTGTTTTTCCTTATAACTCCTGAGAGAGTAATATTTATGTACTGTTTTTATCTTCATCTACTAGAGTGAGGGCTCAGTGAGAATAGAGATTTTCGTCTTTGTTTACTGTTACATCCCTTTTACCTGGAGCAATACTTGGGAATCAGACACCTTTAGCAGTCCTTAAATTTTGTTAGAATAAATCTTCTTGGCAAAGTAAAACTTTCAAGTCGTTTCTTTGCCATATTTTAGAAATTTTGTCACTAAGTGGTATTCTTGTAAACTTTATGTAATTTTACTCAATGTTCCTGGATTAGTAAGTACTATTTCTAGGTAATAGGCTAATATGCAGAAAAGTTGCAAGTATTGATTAAAAGTACATATTTCTATAATTTTTGATGAAACATTTGGTTCAATGCTATAATTATGTGACTATAAAGTCAATATTAAAGAAAATAGAACTCGGGGTCCGGCCCGGTGGCGCAGCGGTTAAGTTCACATGTTCCGCTTCAGTGGCCCGGGATTCACCAGTTTGGATCCTGGGTGCAGATGTGGCACCGCTTGGCATGCCATGCTGTAGTAGGCGTCCCACATATAAAGTAGAGGAAGATGGGCATGGATGTTAGCTCAGGGCCGGACTTCCTCAGCAAAAAGAGGAGGATTGGCAGGAGTTAACTGAGGGCTAATCTTCCTCAAAAAAAAAAAAAAAAAGAAAAGAAAATAGAACTCTAAAATTATATGCTCTAGTATCTATCACATAGGATAAAAAGTATATTTTTCATAAATATTTGAACATTGATTAGTCATCAATTAAAGAAGTTTTCTTTTCCACTTTATATATGGTTGAACTATATGAAACTGTTCAGATATAACTATTTTTTTGACCTATAAAAACACCTGTTACATACTTCTATTGAAAAAACTCAGTAAGCTGCTCTCTGATATTGTTTCTTTTTTTTTTTTAAACACTGAAATAATTTGTGTAGTGAAGGAAAAGACTACAATTCATATCCATGTAAGTTTGTAATGCTCTTGTTCTGTTACTTGTCTCCAGGCTGTTTAGCAGACATGACCCACAAGCAGAAGAAGCATTAGCAAAGAGGAGGGGAAGGAACAGTCCAAATGGGAACCTCATTAGGATGCTGGTTCTTTTCTTTCTTGAAAGTGAGGTAAATTTTTAACATAACTCTTTATTTTGTTTTTTGTATTAGATTATACGTTAAATAAAATCGTCATTTAATTCATTGTAATTAGGTGATATTTTTCAATCAAATGAAAACAAGCCAGTTCCTTAGAAAACTGCCTTCATGGATTGCCTGCTTATGGAATCAGTATGCCTTTCATGGGAGTATATATGCAGATGTGGATCAACACTGAATATAGACTAGCAATTTAAAAAATGTTACAGTATTGCAATACTGCATACTTTTTTTATTGTTGCTTTTTATTTTTCTTGAATTTTGACTATAGCTTTTAAATTATATTATTTAAACAGTTTGTGAAAAGTTGTCAAGCTGTTAAAACAATTAGTTCTCTCTTGTTTGAAAATTATGTAAGGAGGAAAAAATATATATAAATTTAAATGCTTTAATTAATAGTTGTACAAACTTCATAGCAGTAATTCCATGTGACATTTCCATGTCAGTTATCACTTAAACAATTTTGTAATTAACATTTATAATATATTCTCTCTCAGAATCTGTTTACGCAAGTGAACTTTGGTTTGCCCACTAAAATGCTCTTTGATATTAGAACTGTATTTCCTACTACTGGTATGACATTGGAGGAATGGTAAACTAATCCTGAAGAGCCCCTGCATGGAAAAGCTGCTTGGCTTAGAAATGAGTGGGAACAGAGTTGCAAAGAAAGTGGAGAAAATCTAGAGATTTAAGACTGTCAGTTTTACTTGGGAAAAAATATTTTTGGTTTGTGTTGAAGTTCTGGGAAGAAAAGAAACTTAAAAGAGTCTGTAACTACTCAAAGTTGAAAGTGCTGGAGAAACTGTAGGAATGAGACCTAAAGAGACAAACATGCAGTCTGTGTGAAAATTAAAATCAGAAAGAAGTAAGAACTGAGTCAGTGGAATGAGTGGGGTTAGGGCAAAGTGGAACAGAAAAGTGGTGAAGGAGTTGCCCATATTTTTTAAGTGAATTGGCAATGAATAGAGAAGGAATAAAGTCAGAAACAAAACAAGCTGGAGAGTTGCATTTGAGTAAAGGATGTCTTTAAGAACAGTATTTTAAATATGTATACAAATTAAATGGGGATCTTGTTTAAAATGCCAGTTCTGATTCAGTAGCTCTGAGGTGGGGCCTGAGATGCTGCATTTTTCACAAGCTCTTTAGTGATGTTTATGCTTCTGGTCCAGGGACCACACTTTGCCTAGTGAGGTTTTAAATCATTATTTTCTTAACAAAGAAAGTGTGGATATATTATGGAGTAAAATATAAAATGCTTGTGAACGTTTAAGATAAAACACTAAATACTCAAATAAATATCACACTTGGAATAGACCACTTCAAATTATACTCTTAGCTCCTTTAGGTTTTAAAGGAATGGGATTAAAAAGTATTATGCAACAATCAACTACTATATGAAAATTTGACTTTAATAGCAACAACAATTCAGAAGTTGATAGGGATGAGAGACGCAAGTATTCTGAACTGCTGAAAAGTTTAGGGAATATGATGGTCTAGGCTGGTTGAACTTGATTATTAAGTGAAGGAAAACATTTTCGATCGCTGAAAACCCAAGGACTGACTGTTCTTTTTTGATAGATTAAAAGGCACAAGTACTTAATTTTACCCAATTTCATCTTTTATTTAAAGCAGTAATTTGAAGTAATACACATTTGTGTTGCTGGGCTATTTTCAGATGGTATTACAGTAGTGCCCCCCATCCATGGTTTCACTTTTCTCAGTTACAGTTACCTGCAGTCAACCACAGTCCAGTAATACTAAATGGAAAATTTCAGAAATAAACAATTCATAGGTTTTTAATTTTGCAGTATTCTGATTAGCTTTATGAAATCTTGTGCCATCCCACCCAGGAGTTGAATCATCCCTTTGTCCTGTGTATCCATGCTGTATACCCTGCTTGCCCCTTAGTCACTTAGTAGCCATCTGGGTTATCAGATCAACTGTCTCTATATTGCAGTTCTTGTGTCAAGTAACTCTTATTTTACTTAATAATGGCCCCAAAGCACAAGAGTAGAGATGCTTGCAATTCAGATAAGCTGAAGAGAAGCTGTAAAGTGCTTCTTTTAAGTGAAAAGGGAAAAATTCACCACTTAATAAGGAAAGAAAAAAATCATATGCTGAGGTTGCTAAGATCTACAGTAACTTTTATTATAGTATAGTGTTATAGTTGTTCTATTTGATTATTAGTTATTGTTGTTAATCTCTTACTATGCCTAATTTATAACTTAAACTTTATTAGAGGTATATATGTATAAGAAAAAGCAGTATACATAGGATTCAGTAGTATCCGCAGTTTCAAGCATCCACTGGGGTCTTAGAGTGCATCCCCTGAGGATAAGGGGGGACTACTGTACTGTATTCCTTTGTTTGCTGCTGTTTACTAAAGTGTTACAAGACCATTAAAATATATTTCCTGGTTCTCTGTAGCATTCTTGTCAGCTGCAAAAGCAACTGCAAATCATGTTTAAAGATTTCTCGTTGATTCATGATCATAATATTGGCCTTTATGGTCGCTTGTGTTTCACAAGAAACATTCTTTGCTAAAATCTCTCTTCTCATCCTGTTACATTAATGTACCCCCAGAGCTGAATGCTTATTAAAGCCATATTCTTATATTATGGTGGAATTCTAATTGTGTCTTGTTCTGAATTCCTCCTTGTTTTACTGTAACACATTAATTAGTAATATTTTAGTAATAGACTCATAAAAAGTTGAATTGAAAGAGACTTTAGAAATCATAAAGTAGAGTGAGTCCATCTTATAGATGAATTACCCGCCAATTAACTAGGATCAACGGAACTGATTATCATACTTTCTTTGTTGTACTAGGATGTTAAATAGTTAACATTTTAGTAATAGAATTCTAAAGTGTTGACTTGAAAGAGGTTTACAGTCCATGGAGTAGTCCCCCTCTTTTATATATGAATTACAGGTGAAATAATGGAGATTAAATTAAGAGATCTGCCTAAACTAATTGTTAATTTTCTTTTCTTTTTGTACCAGAAAGTGACATTTTTAAGCCATCACAACCTTTATAGCAGTCATTGATTTCAGGTGACAAAATACCTAGTATATTTTAGATGCATCCCAAATGGTAGGATTAATGGTACTTGAATGCAGTGAGTCCAGATTTCCCTAAAGGTAGTGTGACCATAGAATTTACTGTACAACCTGTGATGCTTTTCAAAGTGACAAGAATGCTCTTAATAGTTCCTCCAAAGCAATAATCATAACCCAGAACATTTCTGGACAATCTAGAGGTATGGCCACCCTCCTTCCAGGCATATGGAATGATGAGGCTAGATATGACAGTCAGTCATTTAGGACAGAAAATTAACACACATATTATTGATATATCCAGGAAATCTCAGGAATCTCATTCATTGTGCATGAATGATAACTTTGTTTGTTTTTATATGTTCTTCAAGATTCGCCAATGACTGGCTCTATTTCAGCAGAGAATAAAACCCAATATACAAGTATTTAGAAATTTTAGACTAACTTGGGTTGATAGCAATCATGCACCACATAATGGTGTTTCAGTCAACAACAGACCACATACATGACAGTATACACACACACACACACACACACATACATACGTACATAAATGGTTCCATAAGATGAGTACGATATAGCCTAGGTGTGCAGTGTAGGGTATACCATCTAGGTTTGTGTAAGTGCACTCTTATGATGTTTGCACAATGACAAAATCGTCTAATAATGCAGGTCTCAGAATGTATGTATCCCTGTTGTTAAGCAGCACATGACTGTATTTGCATTGTAAATAACTTTTCATAAAAAGAATCAATGTACAGTTCCATTATGCAGTGAACTCCTTTAGTGTATTTAACTATTTGGCAGAGAAGTTAGCAGGCAGAGAAAACTTCAGGTAAAATATTATGAGCAACCTTGAAGCCAATTAAAAATGAATGAGAATGCACCCAGAAAATTGTAATTAAACAAAACCAGGAAAATGAGATTAGTTTGTCTTACATACAAGCTTAGAGGAAATCCTATAAATAAATTGTATTGAATAAAGCAGGGTAAAATCCACCAGGATACAAATATAATTTTGTGTATAATTTTAATTTATATTTGTTATATATAATTTATAAACAAATTTTAGTATAGTTTTAATTATCCGTTTTTGCTATATAGCAGCTTTTTATCGATTAATGAGTTACCTTTTTTGTTCATCTAATTCCTGAAGAGTACAAAAAATGCTTGTAGATACCTGATTTTCAGGCTGTTTGTATAAAATTATGGTACTTCTGTTTTTAGAAAATTCATTTTTGTTTTACTTTTAGGGTTCCAGATCCTTTTTAAACCCAGAGTATTTTTATAGCTATTGAGGATGCCTCAAGACCTTCTTTCTTATAGTTTCATCTTTCACTACCAGTAGAAGGTCCCTTGGTATAAAGTGTCTGAGAAGGTTTTAACCTTATACCCTTACTGGCCACGTTAGAATTTTTTTTTCTCAAACATGGATTTACCTGGTATTCTTGTAGAGATTTGAGCCTAACAAGTTATGAGGCCGTAACAAATGCCCCAAGACAGAAAGACTGTATCATCGACATTATGTCAAGCCAGTTCCTGACTGACCATGTTAAATTGATTATTGTTGCTAATCTTGGTGATTTGAAACTTTTAATCAGAAAATGAGCCAACACATTTTCATGTCCTTCTGCTATACACATTGAGTTTGAAACAGCAGATTATTGGTGTTAACAGAATGGAGACTACTAAGCCACTACCTTATAGTCAGAAAGACAAGGGAATGGTCAAAGGTTAGCATCTACATTGAGAATATTGGCTACCACACAGAATATTTCTGAAACAATGACAACATGCCTGTGCTAAAATTCAGTATGCCTTGGTTCAAGGCATAGAATAGAAGTACAGTCATCCCTCAGTATCCGTGGGGGATTGGTTCCAGGACCCCCTGCGGATACCAAAATCCACCGATGCTCAAGTCCCTCATATGAAATGGCATAGTATTCGCATATCACTTATGCACATCCTCCCATATACTTTGTCATCTCCAGATTACTTGTAATACCTAATGTAACATAAATGCTATGTATATAGATGTTATACTGTATTGTTTAGGGAGTAAGACAAGGAAAAAGAAGTCTGTACATGATCAGTACAGACACAACCATTGTAGGCCTTTTGATCCATGGTTGGTTGAGTCCGTAGATGCAGAACACACAGATACAGAGGGCCAACTGTATATTACCTTAAGCCTCGAAGTGTGCCAGCAATTCATCCAACTGAAAACCTCATGCTAAGTAAATTAAGATGAAAGAGATATTGCCAGTTCACCAGAACAGTGAGGAATTTGTGGAAGCCATAAAGTAATTGACTATGAATTCCATTATAGTTAAGTAACCCATAGCTCCATATGAGGCAAAAATAGGGGGGAAATAAGGTTTTATGGTAGAAATCTGAAATATATCAAAGATCAGCAGAGGCTGATGAAAAAAGTGAGCTATAGATAGTACTTAAGGGGCTGCTGTTTAGCTGAGTTTATTCCTCATGTTAGAAATGTTAGTCCAGGCATTTGAGTTGTGGACATTGGTCTGAGAGACAAAGTGGTGAATGAATGCTCCAGATAATTTATGGTCACTAAGAGGAAAGGGAACTTTTGCATTCAAAAGACAAATTGCATGCCTACACATTAAAGGAACAGCTTACCTGATTATAGATTTCCTTTTTCCACTTACTGAACAGCCAAGGAAGCCAGGACCTTGCAGTCAGACTCAAGAAAGGGATTCTAGCTATCGATATTCTTGAATCTAGACTCATTAAGATATATGAACTGGCAACCAAGAATCACTGAATATCAATATCAATACCATGAAAAAGAAGCACAGAACCCAACATATTGATGAAATTTTTTGATTAATACCCCCAGATATAGGAAGAAGCTACTCTGAGAGAGGAAGGAGGATTCTTAGAAGTTAAAAACATGATTTTCAAAATTTATGGGTGAAGCACATCATTAAATGGCCTGAATGGATTGCCTGTAGTTTGAACCAAGGGATATTTTCAGAAAAGAGTACAAAAGAAGAAAGAAATGAAAAGTATGAGAGAGAAATTAAAAGACAAGGAGTACAGAATCAGAATTTTTATTATATCATCTAGTAGGAGCTCTGTAATGAAACAGAGAGAATGGAGGCAAGGAACTAATCAAAAGACGTGCAGTTAGAATGTTTACTACCCATGCACCCTATATGCAGAGTACTTACTACCTGAGGATGTTTTCTAGCAAAATGAAAAATGGATATAATATAAAAGGAAAATAAGGAATATAATAAACATTGGTGAGCAAAAATATCTGTAAAAACTTGTTCTAAGCCTAAATAATATGGCCGTGAAGCTTAAAGGCGAATGTCAAAAAATTATTTTCAAAATGTAGAGGTTATGTTCATTGAATGAAGTAAATAAATGTGAAGATCTTGGTGATGGAAAAATACAAGTTAGAAAATAAAACTCTAATGGAAGCACAGATAAAACAAGAAAATGTCATCAGTAGAGCTCAGGGAATCAGGTACAAAGAATATTTCCAATATCAGTAATCCCAATAAATGTAAATGGGTTAACATGCTTTATTAAAAGGCACACATTGTCATTTACGGTTGAATTAAAGAAATGAAAATGTTATTTACAAACACACTTTAATCAAAATAACATGAGAAGTTTACAAATAAAAACAAGAATTAAACTGGATAAAGGCTGGATATAATTAAATGCTTACAAAAAGCTAAAGGGACGATATCATATAAGATAAACCAGAATTGAGTACCAAAAGCATTAAGAGGGACAGAGAAAGGATATTTTATATGTATAGGAGCTATAATCCACCAAAAATATAATCGTGAACCTCTTATACCTGTTCTATAAACACGCTTAAACATGGACACATAGATAGGCATAAAAGCAAGTTTGTTCAACATAGGTTTTTTTTTTATTATGGTAAAATATATACATAATGAAATTTACCATTTTAACTATTTTTTAACTGTACAGTTCATTGACATTAAGAACGTTCACATAGCTGTGCAACCATCACTGTCATTCACTGTTGGAATGATGTTACTAATGGTCTAGTAATAGTTTCCCAGGACACGTAAATTTGGAAAGTTTAAAGATGACTTGCTGCAAGTCTTTGCCCATGTTTTTTCCAAGCAGAGATGCTAATCAATATTTTCCACTCTTGCTTTGACAAAAATCATTGGGAGACTGTTTTTGTGTGTGTCTCTGTGTGTGGTTTTCCTGAAGCATTTCAGGAGCCAGAATGTGAGATTTGAAATGCAGTGGAAATGAAGTATAGAATTAAGGAAGTCAAATGAGACACAGCTTTAAATAAGTCATCAAAAAACACATTGAAGTTAAGAATAATGATAGAATTCAGAGTGAGGAAGAAAACCAGCTCACATGCCAGATGTGCCAAGATATTGGCAGACAACCCGTAGGTCTGGAAAGATAACTTTTATACATTTTTGAGCCACTACTCGTGATGAGAAAACCATTTTCTCTCACAAGTACAAGCATATATAACTGAAATATGAGTTATATGAAATAGTGCTTAATTTTCTATGTGCTATACACTCTTTTCTTCTATGTTTCATTTTTTGAAACTTTAGTCTCAGTGCATTAAATTGGTTTAACAACCAGTGAATGGGTTGCAATCTGTAGTTTGAAAAACACCCATCTAGAAGGTGGTTTAGCTGGATGTCATGAACCGAAAAGGTGGAAGAACTTTTATACGAGAGTGGCGAAGTTAATTGTAAGTAGCAGAAACAAGAACAAGGCCCACACCTTCTCTACTTAATTTCCCCGAAGAGCTTATTGGAGTAATATTCTTCACAGTTTAATGACTAACAAGTGGTAGAGAGTTTGATGTGAAGTGTTTGATGAGGAACTTGAGAGTGTTTGTTTGCTGTGAGATCATGGGTTCCAAAGAAAATTGTCAATAGTAATGAATAGCAAAAAGTGGGGGTGGGGTGGGATGATTAATGCATTGAGTTAAATGGAAATAAGAGTAGAAAAGAGGAGAGATGGAATAACTTAACATTTTGACCTTGACAAGATGACCAGGATGTAAATTAAGTCAGTCTGGTACCAAAGTTTCAAATGGAATTCTGAGAAAAAGTGTTGATTTCCTTAAAAAAAAAAAAAAGATTGTTTCAAAGACACAAACCTAGAGTAATTAAAAGTGAACTAGATCTAGTTTATAATTTCAGGAATTCTGTTAACTAGTTATACTCTCAGTTTCGTAGGAGATCCTTAACGTTACTACTATAAAAAAATTTGATTCTACATATTGCATCCCATTATTGACAGTGGAATACAAATATATATATTGTTCTCTAGGTGGCTCTTGGAAACGTTGTGATCAAGCCATTTTAATTATGAAGACGTGGTTTATTGACTCAAAATATTAGTAGTTTCTTCTAAATATTCTTCAGTTACACTTGATTTGTTATTTTTAGTTACACGAACATGCAGCCTACTTGGTGGACAGTTTATGGGAGAGCTCTCAAGAACTGTTGAAAGACTGGGAATGTATGACAGAGTTGCTATTAGAAGAACCTGTTCAAGGAGAGGAAGGTATAGTATTTTGACAAGTTGATTTACATACCGTTTTGGGTTTCTATTAATAATCATACCATGCTGTATAGATCACTTTTTAAAAATGAATATACGCAAGCATACTGTATGTCTTTTTGTAAAGAGAACAATTTGTTTCCTGTAACAAGTAAGGATATCTCAATAGTTTATAACATCTTTCCAGATTGACTGCTGCCATGCTACACAAGTTTTTTAACATCCATATAAGTGTCATGTAATATTCAAAAAAGTTTTCTTTATCCTGATTTGAGTCACATAATACTGAATTACTTAATGTGAAAAAAAGAAAAGTGTATCCAGAATCTTTTTGCTGTATTTATATGGGAACTTGGAAACGCCTTTGACACTAAAGAATTTAATTAGAGCACAACCATCCCTTCTTTTGTGATATTTTCTTAAATATTAAAGTCAGGAAATCAAAAATAAAGTCAAATATTTCTAGCTCTTCCAGAAATAGGGAGAAATAATTGCTGTATGATAAGTAAAGTATGTGTCTTACTATACTTTGCATGATAACATAACCAGTAAAATGGATATGTATACTTAATAAAGCATTTGTAGTCTAAAAGCTTATATGAGTATTAGCTCCTTAAAACTAGAAATGCTTTTTCCTATATATGGCTTGTTTTTCAAACTAGCCCACGATAGTGCTTTAAAGAACTACTGTATTTCATTTAATCTATACAGCAGTCCTGGAGTGTAGATGATACCTTGATGTAAGTGAGACTTGTGGTGAACAAACATGAACTTCAGAATCAAAAGAAATAGATTCAGATTTTTAACTCTTACTTTTTGTGGCTAATGTTCTCATATTTTCTGATCCTTAGCTTCCTTTTCTTTATAATATAGACATTATTTTCCTTTTATACATTATATAGTTGTTGTGAGGATTAAATGAGATAGTATACTATTGATTCCCTGTTCTGCTTCCCCTACTCTTCTGTGTGGCTCAATCCTTTGGCGTGTAAGAGCAGAATGAGCCATCTCCTGCGATAGACTACCCAAACAGGTCATCAGGAGAATGACCATCCCCCAGTGTTCTTTCTAAGCAGTGATGGTAATTGGTGTTATCTACTCCAGTTTTGACAAAATTCAGTGAGAGAGAAAACAACTATGTCTCGTACCCAGATACACTCCAGTAAACTGGCCCAAATTGCTTCTTTTAAACTCAAAATATTTGCCTCATAACCACATTCTTAATCTGTAACACAAATCCTTTCCAAACGTTTCTCACACCTTCTTTCAATGTGGAGGTTATTATAGTATTTGAATTCACCTCTGATTATTATTTACTTTATTTGCATGTTTGTTTGTTTTTTCTCTCGTATCCTTGGTAAGAAGGTGGCCCTATTACTAAGTTGACAGGGCCTTCAGCTCACTAGATCAAACTCTCAACTGTACTCTGACTCCTTTCACTTTTGTGATCACAGAAATATGAATGTACATTCTATATTTTCTCCTGTTTAACTTCCTCATACGTGTTTCTGCTAAGTTCACTGACATCATACTTTTTATTTCTAAGTAGTCTTAATATTTTCTCTAATGAAATCAATTCCCCTTCTAATCATTACTGCCCAATTAACACTTGAGCTAAGTACCCAGCATAGTATTTATTAGTGTGTTGCATCCATTTTCCTTCCCTTGCTTGTGGCTATAGAATCAGCAAATTATCAGAGCTTCTTGTTTATGATGGCGAGCCATTTTTCTTTTTATCACCTCATGCTGTATAAGGTTATTTCCAAGGAGAAGGGAGGCAGAGGATATAAATTCAGGCAAGAAGAGCCAGTGTAATAATGCTTTGGTAATGTTAACTTTTTACTCTCCTTTAAATAAGATGTGTAAGTCAGTAAATGGTAAATACTAACTCTGTTAGTCATCAAGGTGTTTAGATGGATTTACCTTGTTAAAATAACTATACACTACAGTCATGTGTTGTTTATTGACAGGGATGTGTTCTGAGAAATGCGTTGTTAGGTAATTTTGTCATTGTATGAACATCAGAGAGTGTACTTACACACACCTAGATAGTATAGCCTACTGCACACCTAGGCTGTATGGTGTTAATCTTATGGGACCACCATTATGTATGTGGTCCATCACTGACTGAAACGTCATGCAGCACATGACTGTCTTAGGTGTTTCATTGTGGTTTAGATTTAGTTGATGTTGGGTTTAACTTCCAGTCAAGAGGTTGGTTTGGTTTGGCTTGGGTTTGATTGGTTTGATTTTAGCTGGAAAAGTGAGTTATAAAATCTGAAACATTTTTGAAGTGAAGCACAGTTTTAGGGTATGATTGAATCTGGGAACGCAAGCCTGGGAAAATTATGGATAAACAAGTGCAGAATCATATCTACATTATGACACAACTTTTTTCATATGTTTGTCTATTTGCGTACTGTGCCACATATAAGCTCTGGCTTGGAATAGCATCCAAATCAATTTTCTGCACTAGTATTTTGCTATATTTTATGATAACAAAATGCTACTAGTAACTTTTTTATTTTTAAGACTAAGTAGAAATTGTTATATTTTAGGTAGATGGAGTATGATAGATATTCCAGTGGATGAAAGTCTAATTAGCAGTTGGAAGTAGAGGTCTAGAATTTGAGAAAACAGACACATTGTCAAAGACTACCAGTAGTAATTTTTTTTTTTTTTTTGAGGAAAATTAGTCCTGAGCTAACTACTGCCAATCTTCCTCTTTTTGTTGAGGAAGACTGGCCCTGAGCTAACATCCATGCCCATCTTTCTCTACTTTATACATGGGATGCCTACCACAGCGTGGCTTTTGCCAAGCGGTGCCATGTCTGCACCCGGGATCCGAACTGGCAAACCCCAGGCCGCCAAGAAGTGGAATGTGTGAACTTAACCGCTGCGCCACCAGGCCAGCCCCAAACCAGTAGCAATTTAAATCACAGTAGTCTTAAGACTGCCTTCCTTGTAGTGTTTTTAAGGGACCAGAGGGGTTGTGTGTGTGTGTGTATTCTACAGCAAAATCAAATTGTTAGATAAATTTTTAGTATAATATGAGGGTCTGAGTAACAGGTAACCTGGTAACAGCAAGACCATAACTAAGTCATTTAACTTCACTGAGTCTCAGCTGCTTTTTCTTTCTTTCTTTTTTTTTTTTTTTGGTGAGGAAGAGTCACTCAGAGCTAACATCTGTTGTCATTCATGCTCTTTCTTTTGTTTTTTATTTTTTTGCTTGAGGAAGATTAGCCCCAAGCCAACATCTGTGCCAGTCTTCCTCCATTTTATATGTGGGGTGTCTCCACAGCATGACTGAGTGGAGGAGATCTGTGCCTGGATCTGAACCTGTGAACCAGGGCCACTGAAGTGGAGCACTTGGAGCTTTAACCATTCAGCCACAGGCTGGCCCCCTCAGTTTCTTTATCTGTACAAAAAGGACCTTTGATCAGTTGATGGATGAAGTAAATGTGGATAAATGGAATTATTCAAAGTAGAGGATCATTAATTCATTTATAATTTAAAAACATTTATTGACCACCTTCTGCGTGCTAACTATTATACTAAGCACTGAGATCAGCTCACTGCCCACATGGAGCTTACCTTCTAGTAGCAAAGGCAGACCAAACCAAGTAAACAGTCAGAATAATTTTAAGAGTTAATTAGTGTGATGAATGATAAGCAGGAGTCCATCTTTTAGTTTGAATCTTAAAAGGAAGATCTCTCTGAGGAGGCCACCTGTGAACTAAGAATCTAAACGATGAGGGGGCTAGCCATGGGAAGTGTCAAAAAAGCCATCTAGAGTAAGGAAACAGCAATTGCAGAGTATCTGAAGCATGAATGGTATTGTTATGTTCCAGGAGCTGCAATAACTAGAGCATAGTGAGCTGGGGCACCAGATGGGATAGAGGCAAAGGCCAGGTGATGTACCACATTTTAGTTCATAAGTGGATTTATGTAGTTCATTCTAAGTGTAATAGGGAGCCATTGAAGGATTTTAAACAAGGAAACCATGTGATCCAGTTCATAGTTTAAGAAAAAGGTTTTTGTATACATTGTTTGGAATAGGCAGAAGACCAGTTAGGTTGACTGTTGGAGCGGGCTCTATGGGAAACGATAATAAAAATGTAGAAGAGGAAGATGGATTATAAAGAAGGAAAGAGCTCATGGCTGAGTTTTAAAGACTGTAGATAGAAGACAAAAGCAGAAAGAGAAAGAGAGAGTGAAAGCTCCTGAGGCAAGCTTTAAAAAGGCTAAGAAATAGTTATACTCTGTAGAACCCCAGTAAAGAGAGCCGTGGTTAATAACATCACATACTGCAGAGGAGAAACAGGACTATGCAAAAATCATTAGCTTTAGTGATGATTTAGGTCATTGGTGACTTGTAAGCATTTCTTTTCACTGGTAGTAAGGAGAGAAGTCAGAGTTCAAAGTGATAAGAATAAAATCAATAGTAAATAAATTATGTGCAAAGATATTTCTGAAGACTTAGAAGGTTCTGTAGTTATCTGGTAATTCATAGTATGAACAGCTACCCATTGATTCACCCATTGTGACTATTTTGCTCTTCTATGCAGCTTAAGGTTTGCTTTGCTTTCAGTTTTATTATTTGGTTTTGCTGTCGTATCCCAAAAGGGATCTCAATTAAACTTCAGCTGTTTTGAGTTTACCTTTTCTAAATGGATGGTTTCAAATTATAAAGTAAATAACAAAATTGATGGCATTGGACACTTTGTAAGGTTTGGTGGGTTGTTCTTCAACACTAATATGGGTTTTAGTATATAGTAGGAGAATGTTTCCGTACTTGAGATGTTCTCTCTCTCTCACTTTCCATAGAACTATATTCTCTTCCTAAACAAAGAAAATGAGTTTAGTTCATAAACAGCCTTGTCATTCCTTTATCCCTAGCCAAATGTGAAAAATTATGAAATTCTAGAGTCAGTCATAAAAATAGAAAGTTAGTTGTTTTATTGAGTGGGAAGCTTTTTCGTATTATTAGGCATTGGATCAGGGAGTATAAATGGAAAAGCTGAGACTGTTCCATGTGGTTTTCCTAAGACAAGCTGAAATTCATGTGTTTTTCCTGAGACAAAATGTTAAAACAAAGAATGATTGAATTAAGATGTACATAATACATATTCCTTTACAGGATAATTTTGGTACAGATTAAAGGACAAGATACTATGTCTTTGTTTGCCTTTTCATTGCTGTTGCCCCCAATTTATTTTAAAATAATCAATATAAACTTGTAAAGCTTAATCTTTTTTAAAAAACGTATACCTAGTTTTGTCTCTAGTCTCCACATCTATTAGGCTTTAACATAAATAAGTATACAGAGAAAGGGAGAGAGGAGGGAGGGAGTCAGAAAGATAGAATTAAACTATTCAAATTAGTCTTAAAATCTATCTTTAAAAATACTTGAAATGTATTGAATATATTTTTAAATACTTTAGAAATATTTTAAAATAGTAATTAATTCAACAAGGGAAAATACAGAATCAATGTAAAGAAAACCATAATGTTTTGTTAAATGATGTAAAATAAGATCTCATACATGAAGAGGACTATATCATGTTCCTGGCTGAAAAGATAATAAGAATGTCAGCTCTTCCCAGTGTAATTTATAATTTTCTTAAAATATCTTTCCAAATTCCAGGGGGTTTGAGAAAGTTCTGGGAGATGAGATGAGAAGAATAACTAAGCAAAATGACTTTAAAATTTATATAGAATTTTAAGCTTATGCAAAAAGGCAATATAGCATGCTACTTAAGAGCGTAGACCCTGGAGTCTGACTACCTGCATTCATCTTTTGTCTCTACTACTAGCTGAGTGCTTTGAAAAATTATTTAACCTCTCTGTGGTTCATTTTTCCCATCTATAAAGTGTGAAGATATTAGTTCCTATCTCTTGGAATTTTTTTGATGATAAAAAAAAGTTAATACATATAAAACACTTAGAACAGTGCCTTGTACATAGAAAATGCTTAATAAATTCTTTGCTTATTAGCGTCAGAAATTAGAAAAATTTTAGAAAAAGGACTAGATAAGGGAAACTTCAACTAAATATTCAAATTAGTTGAATTAAGTTCATATTAAAGTATATTATAACATTATAAGGCAGCTATAATGAAGACAGTATGGCATTGTGATAGAAATAGACAAATAAATTAGTGAAACCAAAAGAATCTAGAAATACCATAAATCTAAGTATGAGAGCCTAAAACATGTTTAAAAATGACATTTAAATTCAGCAAGGACAGCTGGTTTATTTGACAATGGTCGAGGCATAACTGGCTGTTCATCTGGCAGGAATAAACAGGCCCATACTTCATACTATCAGCAGAAATAAATTCTAAACAAATGAACAAGAAAATACACTCCACTAATTAGTAGATAGGAAGGAGCAAAATAACAATGAAATACCATTTTTTAATAATTGGATTGTAAAAATTAAAAGGATTTATAACAACCAGTGCTGGCAGGGATATGAGGACCTAAACATTGGACCCAAACTGCTCGCTGCAGCAGTAAATAACCTTATGATTTGTCAGTATCAAGATTTTAACCTTTGACCCATTACTCCTTCTCTTGGGAATTTACAGAAATAAAAGTGTCAGTTACATAAATATATGTGTATTAATGATATTTATTGCTGTGTTATATATAGTTTCAAAAATATGCAAACAATTTGGACTTTAGTAGGAGGTTGACTAAGTTGTGGAACACAAATTATGTAAATTTTTATAATTATTTAAGGTAATTATTCATATGTATGACTTGTGTGTAGTGTATGTAGTGACTTGATAGATGTTCAAAATCTGTTAATTTTTAAAAATAGCATGATCTTTTTTAAACAGAAAAAAAGATGTCTCATATGAGCTTTGAAATGATGTAGAAGGAAATACAGTAAAATTTTGTCAATGCCTAGCTTGGAAGTATGGTATTAGAAAAGAGCAGGTATTAGAAGAAACCAGTTTATCGTCTTTTTCTTTGTGTGTGTCTTTCTTATTTGACTTATGCAAGCACGTATTAGTTCTTAAAAAAAGAAAAAAACAAAATACAGAGTTTAACTTCAGTCTTTAATCAGTAACAGAATATGTTTGCAATTTTTCATAATCGTGTTCATTTTTAATACATTGTTATTATAAAACTATCTTCTCATACGAATGTGTTTTGTTTCACCTTAGCAATGTCTGACCGTCAAGAGAGTGCTCTTATAGAGCTAATGGTTTGTACAATTCGTCAAGCTGCTGAGGCACATCCTCCAGTGGGAAGGGGTACTGGCAAGAGAGTAAGTTATATTACTGTAGAGAAGTCTACAAAAAGGCTTTTAATGTAACTAGCTGTCTTAAATATTTGAAAATTTTACTGGTATATGTATACCTAAAAAACATGATATTTTTGTAAATGATACATGCTGTAATGTTTCATCTTTATATCCTGTCTGCTCAGCTTCCAAAAATAGTTTTCTTCCATGCCTCCATAGCACCTGTACCTGCTTCTGTTCTAGTACTTTAAGAGTGTTCATATTCATATCTGTTAAAAGTGCAGAAGGCTCTGAAGGCAAACTGTCTAGTTTGCAAGCTCTTCCATTTAGCAACTATGTAATCTTTGGATAGTTGATTATTTTCTTTGTCTCTTGTCTGTAACGTGGGGCTAATAATGCAGGTCTTATTGGATTAAAGATGAATTGAGATAATCACAGATGGAAAGACTGGCTCTGGTGATGTGACGAGGTAGGCAATTCCTCTCTGTAAAAGAACCAAGTATAAAACTTGAAAAATCGTAAGCAAAACGAAACAAAACAAAAACCTTATCAGGGCTCTGGAAATTCATCAAAGATAAAAAACAAATGGAGAAGCGTTTATTCTTGAAAAAAGCTAAAACTTCAAGTAGAAGCAGTGGGAGTCTATGGCCTTCTTGTCTCAGGATACAATACACACATACCCCATAAGCTTGATTGGTGAGATAAGTAGATTTACCAGAGTAGCACTGTCTGCAAAAACCAGCAGCTTTGTTCTCAGAGGGGATAGACTCAATATGGGACAAGTGGCAAAATCCCACGGCTTTGTGAGCTGGAAATGGTAAACTTGGTAGAAATAACCAAGGAAAACCCACAGGTATGATATTCAAAGGTTGTGGTCCTAGTTGGTAAGAACAGTGGACCAGCCAAGAATCTAACTGAAAAATTCTGGAAATGAGAAAGCCATAAGATTAGGTAAGCTTTCCACACATTCCTGGCTGACTAGGATACCTGAGAGAATCCGACAGAAAATAAAAGTCAAGCCAAACTTAAGAACTGGCTGAACTTTGAATATGCACTCTACCCCACAAACAGATCAGATCTCAGAGTGGAGAAGCCTTATAGATTTCAAGTATTTGAGCACAACCTAAGCCCAAATCATTGGCTGACTAGTAATCTGTTGAAACACAGTAGAGACTCCTAGGAAGACAGACTAAAGAACAAAAATAAAAATAGGAATTTCAAGCAGAGGCAACACATCATACATGGGAGATACAGATTATGCAGTTAAAGGTTACTTCTTTTATTTAATGAAACTTAGAAAAGTGAGTTAAAAATCTATAGTTACGGGGCTGGCCCTGTGACCGAGTGGTTAAGTTCACGCGCTCCGCTGCAGGCAGCCCAGTGTTTCGTTGGTTCGAATCCTGGGCACGGACATGACACTGCTCATCAAAACCACGCTGAGGTGGCGTCCCACACACCACAACTAGAAGGACCCACAACGAAGAATATACAACTATGTACCGGGGGGGCTTTGGGGAGAAAAAGGAAAAAAGAAAATCTTAAAAAAAAAAAAAATCCACAGTTACTGTAATGTATTATCCAAAAATGTCCCAAAAAATTACAGCCATGGGAAGAAAGAGTAAAATATGACCACACTCAGGGAAAAAAGCAGACAATAGAAATGGCTTCTCAGTAGGCCCAGTTGTTGGGTTTAGCAAAGACTTCAGAGCGCTTTTTATAGATGTGTTCAAAGAAAAAAGGGAAAATGTGTTCAAAGAATTACAAGAAAATATGATAACAAGAAATATTGAATCTCAATAATGAAAAAACAAATGGAGATTCCAGAGTCAAAAAGTTCAGTGACAGAAATTTAAAATTTATTGGATGGGCTCAATAACAGATTTGAGATGAAAGAAGAAAGAAACAGTGAACGTGAAGATAGATTAATAAAAATTATCCAGTCTGAAGAACAGAGAGGAAAAAAGACTGAAGAAAAATGAACAGAGCCTCAGAAATGTGTGAAGCATCAAGTGCATCAAATCTGTATAATGGAGTCCCCAAAAGAAAGGAGTGAGAAAGAGAGAAGAAGGAAAAACATTTGAATAATTGCCAGGAACTTCCCAAATTTGATGGGAAACATTAATCCACAGATTCAAGAAGCTTAACAAAACCCAAGTAGGACAGACACAAGAGCCTCCACTTCTAGACACAGATAGTCACACTGTTAAAATCCAAAGACAAAATATCTTGAAAGCAACAAGAGAGAAACAACTCATGTACAGGACAACAGCTTTGTATTAACAGTTGACTTCTTATCAGAAACAGTGGAGGCCGTAAGACAGTAGAATGACATACTCATTGAAAGGCAACAAAATTGCCAACCAAGAACTCTAAATCCAGTAAAATTATCTTTCAAATATGAAGGCGAAATAAAAACATTCCCAGCTAAACAAATGTTGAGAGACATCTTACTAGAAGACCTGCCTTAGGAGAAATACTGAAAGAAGTCTTTCCGTGCTGTAAAGAATAATACCAGATGGTAACTCTGATCCACAAGAAGGAATGAAGGGTACCACAAATGGTAAATGTGTAGGGATATAAAAGGCTGTGTATATTATATATTTTTATTTTCCTCTCTTAATTTCTTTAAAGAGCTATGAGATGACTTAAAGCAATAATTTGGATATGTGTGACAATTGCACAAAGACGCGTAAAGAAAGTGGAACTGTATTGGAACAAAATTGCTGTATTTTGCTGTAATTAATTCAATATTATCCTGAAGTTGATTGTAATAAGTTAAAGAAGTATATTGTAATCCCTAGAGCAACCATTCATACCTAAAAAAGGAAAACAAAATCAACAGAGAGATTATAATAAGATGCTAAAAAATGTTTAACGCCAAAGAAGGCAGTAAAGGAGGAACAGAGAAACAAACAAAAAAAGACATACAGTATACAGATAACAAACAGTAAAATGGCTGACATAAATTCAACCACATCAAAAATTAGATTAAGCAGCCGGCCCAGTGGTTCAGCAGTTAAGTGTGCACGTTCTGCTTCAGCAGCCTTTGGTTCGCCGGTTCAGGTCCCGGGTGCGGACATGGCATGGCTTGGCAAGCCATGCTGTGGCAGGTGTCCCACATATGAAGTAGAGGAAGATGGGCATGGATATTAGCTCAGGGCCAGTCTTCCTCAGGAAAAAACAAAAAAGGATTGGCAGCAGATGTTAGCTCAGGGCTCATCTTCCTCAAAAAAAACAAAAGTTAGATTAAATATGAATATAGGAAAGACTCCAAAAAGCAGAGATTGAGAAAACTATGGAGTGGGAGTGAAATGATACTACTGAATTGCTGTTTAATTTTGTTGGAGATGGTAAGTTCTAGTATTCTTAAGTCTACGTCTGTTAGAGACATATACTTGAATTTTTATAGGTGAAATGATATACCAAGAATTTGCCTTAAAATGCTACAGAAAAAGAAAAATTAGGGGATTTGTTGAAACAATGACGACAGAATGACTGTTTCTGAAATTTTCCAGAATAAAAGTTTTAAAGATATGTATTGTTCCAACTTTGACTGAGAACCTCTTCAGGCTAATTTCTTGTTCTTTTGACATGTCTTATCATCTTTTGAGCACTTTCTTGCTTTCTTTCAGAGCAAGATGCCCCAGACTCACTGTCTACTTTTACTGCCTACATTATCTATTGCTATGTAAAAAATTACTTCAAAACTTAGAGTCCTAAAACAATAAGCGTTCATTATCTCATACTTTCTGTGGGTCAAAACTTGGGAGTGGCTTTTAGCTGTTCTTTTAGTTTAGGGTCTCTCATAGGGTTGCAGATAGTGTGTTAGCCAGGGCCTCAGCCTCTGAAGGCTTGATGTTAATTTAGTACTTCCATAATGGCTCACTCACATCAGTAGCAAGATAGTGTTGATTGTTGGTAGGAGGCCTTAGAGGCTCACCAGTGGAACTCTCAGTTAGGACTGTTTGAATGTTCTCATGACATGGCTACTGGCCTCTCCTAGAGTGGGTGATCCAAGAGAAAGTAAGGTGGACACTTCTGCATGACCCTGCCCTCAAAAGTCATACAATATCATTTCTACAATATCCTGTTGGTTACACATGTCAGCCTTATTCGTTGTGGGAAGAGACTATAAGGCATGAATACTAGGAGGGAGAGGTCATTGGAAGTCATTTTGCTGGCTGGTTTTACACTGCCCTAGCACAGGAATCTCCAACAATCCCTGATTACTTTTAATAAAGAGTAGTATTTAAAGATCAAAATCTTGGCACTAAGAGCACTCATTGTCCGTTGGTTATCATTTCTACTAGGCACTTTTAGTTGACAGCTGTGTATTTCTATATATACATATACATTGAAGTCACATTTATGTTGGTATCTCTGACTTGAATTTAACGGGATTTTTCTCTCTTTGATTTTATGTTTTTTCCCATTTTTATTTTATGGAAATACGTAAAACATTTACATAGTTAAAAAGTCAAAACCATGTAAAAATATATATTCAGAGAAGTCTTGCTAATATACCTCTCTATATACCCCATTCCTACCAGTGACCATGTTTATTTGTTTCTGGTTTATTTTTCCAGTATTTTATTTTGCAAGTATAGGTAAATACATTCACACATACAGATATATGCCTTCTTATTCTCCATCCTCCTCCCTGTCAATCTTCTACAATAGGTAACATACTTTATACAGTGTTCTGTACCTTACTTTTTTCATTTAACAGTATGTCCTGGCTATCTCTCTGTAACTTTATTTGGAGATCTTCATTTTCTTATGGCTGTATAGTATGCAGTATGTGGATATACTGTTGAGAGTCTTTTGGGTTGTTGCCAGGCTTTTGCTATTAGAAATAATGTGTAATGAATAATCTTGTGTCATTTATACTTATGCCAGGTGTGTTGGTGGGCGTAAAAGTGGGGTCAAAGGAAGAATTTGTATACAATTTTGTTAGATATTGGTAAATTCCCCCTTCATATTATGCCATTTTTGCTATCCTGTCAGAGATAATATGAGGATAAAATGAGTTCATGTATATGGACTGGCTGACACAATGATCCTTTAATCAAAGATAGCTGTTTCCCTAAAATCAATATCCTTAGACCTTTCATACATTGTCAGGTGAATTTAAAGACTTCTCAATATGGTGAATACCTTCCTAGATATGTACTCCAGTTTATATGTAATCCCTTTAATTGTTTTGTACAGAACTAAACACAATACTTGGTAGATATTCCAAAGTGATTATTTTATATATTTAAGAGGTTGAAAAACGATAAAGCCCCTGGAAGAAGAATCAAGTAGGAAGCCCTATTACTTCTTTCACATAGTCTCAAACATTGAGGTTCATATTTATAAAGTGGCAATTTATTTTGGAATGTTTCTCTTTTATAAAACCATTCAACATTAGAATGGTAAATTTCTTCAAGATAATAACAAAATGCAGAATACTTTGGGGAAATGCTTATCTTAACTGAGCTTGCATTTTAATATTTTATTTTTGGAAGCACCTGTGGGTGAATACAGGCTAAGATAGTGGGCATCAACAGCTTGAATTTGTTCAATGACCACAGGATATACCCCTCTGTCTTGATTATTGCCTAACAGTTTATGAGCTTGGTTACAAGGAGAATCAAATATAAGTGAGTCCAGGGATATTGTTAGTATATGCTTAGAAAATAAGTGAAAATTTATTAGCCACTCGTAGTATTAAAAAAGCATTACTTTCTAATGTATTTTTAGAAAATTGTTTAACATAGGGGAGATCACTATTAACATATTGAGACTGAAACTCTAGAAAAATTATTTCTCCATTGGTTCCAGTATTTTTATATTAGTAACTATGGTTTTATAGAAGTGTTTATTTGTTTTTCTTTAATCTAAATAAGTAGTAATTTATCTAAACTTTAGTGATTCCTAAATAAGCAGCTATTTACTAAAGTAATACTGCATGTTAACTAGAAATTTGCATAAAATTAGATGTATTTATTTTAGTAATTAGTTTGATAAGCTCCTCTTAAAATTCTCAGTTACATTATCTGCCACTGCTACTTCCTTCTATGTAACATTCTAGATTTATAAATTAGTACATGACACTCTTTTTCTTTGCCCATTTAAATTTATTTCTAGGTGCTAACTGCCAAAGAAAGGAAAACTCAAATTGATGATAGAAACAAATTGACTGAGCATTTTATTATCACACTTCCTATGTTGCTATCAAAGGTATAGTTTCATTTATATTTTTTGTGATAATATGCCACTGAGTTTGCTTATTATACTGTATTATTAAAGTAATTACTTCTTTTTTCTTTGCTTCTCCTTCTAGTATTCTGCAGATGCAGAGAAAGTAGCAAACTTGCTACAAATCCCACAGTATTTTGATCTAGAAATTTATAGCACAGGTCGAATGGAAAAGGTAAGACACTATGAAATTGAAATTCTGCTATTATAGTCAGTTTGTTAACTGAATTATTTTAACTTCATGTAATCATATAGGCTTATTATTTGACAGATGCTTACTTTTGTTTTTTGTTATTAATCTAAATATCATAGTTTTTCTCTTTTCCTTCCTCAGCATCTGGATGCTTTATTAAAGCAGATTAAATTTGTTGTGGAGAAACATGTAGAATCAGATGTTTTAGAAGCCTGCAGTAAAACCTATAGCATCTTATGCAGTGAAGAGTATACCATCCAGAACAGAGTTGACATAGCTCGAAGCCAGCTGATTGATGAGTTTGTAGATCGGTTCAATCATTCTGTGGAAGATCTATTGCAAGAGGTCTGTTTTAAACTTAATATGTACATATAATTATTTTGGCTAATAATTATTCAAGGTAGCTGAGTGTGTAAATTGTGTCCATTTTAAAACAAAATCTAGTAGAATTCTCTAATTCTTTCAAAACTTAGCAGCACTGTTGCAGTCGTTCATCCTGTAAAGATCAGTCTTGGTTAAACTTTATTTTAAAAATCTGTTTTATTCTCTTTTAAGAAAAATCTTTTTAAGGTCTGGCATTTCTTAACTGATTTTTTCATTTTCTATTCTTGGGACCTAATTTGCATTTTAATATTACTGAATTATTATGATGTACTAATGAACAGAACATAAAAATTGTGTGCTTATAAGGCATGGCTGATTACCCGTGCTGTGCCCAAGATAGCAGCAAGCATCTCCAACTGGTTATTTTAATAATTTTATCCATGATTCCTATCTCTTATCCTCTTCCTCCAATCTATATAAGGAAATCTAGAACCCCCACAGCTTTCTGTGCTCTGATGGCCAGGCGGATAGGATTTTCTTTTTAATCCATGTAACCAATTTTTCCCTACTTTCAATTTTTAATTTTCTTTTTCTTAACTTTTGATTTTTTTTTAAATTTTTATTTTTTTCGGATGTACATCATATTTCGAATTCTGTATACATTACATCATGTTCACCACCCGAACACTAATTATAGTGCATCCCCTCACATGTGACCCTAATCACCCCTTTTGCCCTTCCCCCCTCCCCCCATAACTTTTGATTTTTTTTAACCACTTTTGACTTTCCATTGTGATTTTGAAGCTGCAAAAGTAACTGACAATGAATAAAATCTTTGAAATAGCCATTAAAATCTTTAAAGTACATTCCCTTTTACTCAGCAATTTCAAGAAATTTATCCTAAAATATTAATCATAAAAGTGTACAAAGTCATGTTTATGACACTGTTTAAAATGCAGAAATTATTTGTCTCTGGGTGTTGGGATTATGGAAGTTTTTCATTTTTTGGTTTTTTGCTTATTTGTATTTTCCTTTTTACCAATAGTGAATATGTACTATTTCTATAATTAAAAAAGAATTTTTGGACAGTAAATATTAGCATACTTTCATGTGAATTTGGGGATGAGTAAAGTTATGGTAATGAGGCGATGTCTACTTTTTACTTATAGGGAGAAGAAGCTGACGATGATGATATTTACAATGTTCTTTCTACGTTAAAGCGGTTAACCTCTTTTCACAAGTATGTCATTGTATTTAAAGTAGATTTAGTCAATAAGATATATTAGCCAGCATAAAACAGACTGTGTAATGCTTAACGTCCGTATAACAATGGGAGATTTTGGAGAAATATTGAGATGTTGTGGTGTTTTTTCTCTATTATTCAGATTTTCTCCAGATAAATTATAGGTTCTTATTATAATTTGGTTACTTAAAGTATAAGATTTATCATTCTATATAATGAATGTATACTGTAAAAGTTTGTTATTATTAAATGGGCTTATTATAAGCTAGAGTTTTATAGGTATAATTTTCAATTGATCGCTTTTAGAAATCTTACTAAATAAGAAATAAAGTTTGAGGGAAGGTCATGAAAGTTATTTCTATGAGCTTTTTTCTCTAAGTTGTTCTTGTTTATTATTGTATTCTTACTGTGTAGACAGAGCAGTTGGATTTGAATAAGGAAAAAAGGCTCATATCAGTGAAATAAGTTGTATTTTCAAATTGTATTTTCATGTTTCTTGTAATGAGGCATGCTCATCTTCTCCATAAAGAAAGGAAAATAGAGAACTTTGTTGTCAAAAGAATGCTTAGATGTAGCCCTTTCATTAATGAATACTTCCGATTTCAAAGCAGTGTCTAAAATCTAAGCCTTTTCTTTATGCATAAGTACATTGTTTGGAATTTCATGGAGAAACAAACTCTTACTTTCAAAAATATTTTGACATTTGAAAATAAAAGTTGACAACTAGTGGTGTACTATTTTTAGTAGTAGAACTCATGAGAATTTAAAAGGTAGCATTATTTCATTCAAAAGTCCTCCGCCCATGGAAATAGCTACACTAAAGTTTTTGATCTTTGCCATATTTTCTTTCTCCTGGTTTTGTCTTTCTTTATCCCTATCTTATGAATACAAATCTCTTTTTAAAAAAAGCACATGTATTTATATTTTGAAATTGTGAATGGATTTATTTAAATCTATTTTACTGTGCTAGAAAGAAAGAAAGGTTACTCATCTATGAAATATCAGCTTATGTTGGCTATGTGGTCAACATTCACTTAAATGTGTGAAGTTTTATTGTTACTGATTTCTTTTTATGAATTCCTAATATCACCTTGTGCCCTTTTTTCTCCCTCTCTTCTCGGCTCTCCCCTTCTCCTTCCTCTTACTCCTTCCCTCTCTTCCTTCTTCCTTCTTTCTTTCCTTCCTTCTGTCCACACTGAACATTTCCTTTATGGATCTTTTTCAATTAATAAGAAAATGAAGTTGTTTTGTTTTTCTACCCACTGAAACTGAGCTCAAATTTAAATTTTCTTTCACTCTAGAATAAAATTAATGCGTTTTTATTTATTCTAGCGCTCATGATCTCACAAAATGGGATCTGTTTGGTAATTGCTACAGATTATTGAAGACTGGAATTGAACATGGAGCTATGCCAGAACAGGTAGGAGTATATTGGTATTCCTTCTATATCATTTTAGAAAGCTAAGCTTTTGTGAGATCATATAGGATTATCAAAAGGCTTTCTTAGAAAGTAGTTGATAGTTCTTTAATGAAGCCACCTCCTTTGAGAATTATTGCCATAGTGATTGAATGTTACTCATAGGTGTGTTACATCTTCAGGTTTGAGCAGAAAAAAATAGAGAACCTTTTCTATAGTGTATCTCAAAAATTTAATATTAAGGTAAACATTGTGACTCTTTTAGGAAAAATACCATTAATTACTTACAGTAGCAATTTTAAAACTTCATTAATTCATTATAATGAAAATTTCTGATCATGGCTGTATTTCAGTCACTATTCTAGCTATTGATAATAGTAAGCCTTAGGTATGACTTAACTTTTGTAATAGAACCATAGTTAAATAAGCTTGGGACCCTTTAGCAGATTTTAGAACTTTTTGCATTCTTATATAAGTTGGAGTGGAAAGGGCAGAAATTCAAAAAACTTTCTTTAGTCTGGAAGACACTTAGAATAGCCAACATAATTCTATATGAGAATTAAGTTGTTAATTAACAGTAACAATCGGTTGTTAAGAGTTAAGAATTTCTTTGTATACTGCAGACACTCATTCATATAGACCAAAATACCAACCCCAAAGTTACGTATAGGTGGTGTTTAGCGGTGATCTCATCCATTCCCATTTGATTTTATGGAATGCTTAGATGACACTTCATTTCACTAAAGCAATAAGAATTTCAACAGATAAAATTATAATTTCATATTAAAAGTTAATCACAGAAACAGTGCTTTATTATTGCTATGATTAATTCTTTCAAGTTGCCAAATGTTATTCATGTTTTTTTATCTCTACTTAAAGTAACAACTACCCTTAATATCAAATGTCCCTGATTATGTTAGGTGTTTTTATTGTAATTTGTGGAAAGAGGCTAAATATTTCACCCTGTTGTTTTTCTTCGTTTATTGCTGACTTCAACTTCCGTCCTCTCTTCATCTCAAACTTTTCAATAGCCTACATATAATTTACTGATATTCTCAAGCTGTGCTTCAAAGTTGAAAGAGAATAATAGAGTTAAGATATTCCTTTTTTGGTTTCCTCATTTTCCTCAAGAAGAGAATAAGAATAGCACATCTCTGTTTCATTTGGGGATTGTAACTATATCTAAATTAATTTTTTAATTCACTATATCATCAATAATTGTCAGAACCGACTTGTGACCATCTCACAGTGTTGTCATCTATGGTTATTTTGGTTTTCTGTTACTTATTTTCACTGCATATGTATTATTTACCCCCATTTTATTTTAATTTCTTTGAATAAGAGGACATTTTTATGTGACATTTGCTTTAACTTTGTTAACTTCTTAGGCACACATTCTTTTTTATTTTTTCATTGAAGTATAATTGACATACAATGTTAATTAGTTTCATATGTACACATAGTGATTTGATATTTTTATACATTACCAAATGATCATCACGCTAAGTCTAGTTATCATCTGTCACCATACAGTCTTATTACAATAGTCTCAACTATATTCCTTATGCTGTGCATTACATCCCCATGACTTATTTATTTTATAACTGGAAGTTTTTACCTCATGATCCACTTCACCTATTTCACCCATCCCCTCACTCCCCTCACCTCTTGCAACCACTGGTTTGTTCTCTCTATCTGTGAGTCTTTCTGTTCTGTTTGTTTTGTTTTTTAGATTCCACATAAAGTGAAATCATATGATATTTTTCTTTCTCTTTCTGACATTTCACTTAGTGTAATATACACTAGGTTCATCCCTGTTGTTGCAAATGGCAAGACTTCATTCTTTACAATGGCTGAGTAATATTCCATTGTATATGTATACACCACATCTTCTTTATCCATTCATCTATTGATGGATACTTGGGTTGCTTCCATATCTTAGCTATTGTAAATAATGCTGCAATGAAATGAGTGCACGTATTTCTTCAAATTAGTGTTTCTGTTTTCTTTCGATAAATACCCAGAAGCAGAATTGCTGGATCGTATGGTAGTTCTATTTTTAATTTTTTGAGGAACCTCCATACTGTTTTCCATACTGGTTGTACCAGTTTACATTCCCAAAAACAGTGCACAGGGGTTCCCTTTTCTCCACATCCTCACCAACATTTACCTCTTGTCTTTTTGATAATAGCCATTCTAACAGATGGGGAGTGGTATCTCATTGTGGTTTTGTTTTGGCTTTCCCTGATGATTAGTGATGTTGAGCATCTTTTCATGTACCTGTTGACCATCTGTATGTCTTCTTTGGAAAAATGTGTATTTAAGTCCTCTAACCAGTTTTGAATTGAATTGTTTTTTGCTTTTAGGCTGTATGAGTTCATTATATGTTTTGGATATCCACCCGTTATCAGATATATCATTTGCAAATATCTTCTCCCATTCAGTAGGTTGCCTTTTCATTTTGTTGATGGTTTTTTTTGCTGTGCAGAAGCTTTTTTGTTTGACGTAGTCCACTTTATTTTTGCTTTTGTTGCCCATGCCTAAGGAGACATATCTAAAAGAATATTGCTGAGACCCACATCAGAGAACTTACTGCCTATATTTTCTTCTGAAAGTTTTATGGTTTCAGGTCTTACATTTAAGTCTGTAATCCATTTTGAGTTTATTTTTGTATATGGGGTAAAAATGGTCCAGTTTCTTTCTTTTGCATGTAGTTGTCCAGTTTTCCCAATACCATTTATTAAACAGACTGTCTTTTTCCATTGTATATTCTTGCCTCATTTGTCATAGGTTAATTAACCATATTAGCATGGGTTTATTTCTGGACTGCTTATTCTGTTCTGTTGACCTGTGTGTCTGTTTTGTGCCAGTACTATACTGTTTTGATTATTATAGCTTTGTAGTGTGGTTTGAAATTAGGGAGTATGACACCTCCAGCTTTGTTCTTCTTTCTCAATAGCTTTGGTGTTAGATACATATTCTTAAACTTTAATCATGTGTATGAAGTTTGAGGGCATCACTACTAGATTGTACTCTTGTTCGTTTTAGCAGTTAGGAATTATTTAACATTTAGCAGCTCTTAGAAACATCTCTTTAAATACCCAGGATTGAAAATCTAAAAACTATATTCAACCACTTCTTCATAGGATCATGAAAGCTCACTTTTTTAGATTCCAACTCTGTACTGTGAATTAGCATCCAAAGAAAATACCCTTTTAGAGCAACGATATCAAAGAACTACCAAAATGTTTGCTATTGTTAACCCTCAGTTATACTTAACATTTTGAAAATAACTTAAAATTTACTGTCTGGCTATGTTGGGGAACTGTATTGTCCATATGCTTGACTATTTGTTTTCCATGGTAACCAATTCAACTAGAAGTTTCCCAGTCTTACTCTTCAGAGTTAACTAAATTTTTTTTTTTTTCCTTCTTCCAGTGATCTATCTTTTCTCATGCTGGTACTGTTTTAGCTATTATAGGTTTAGAATATATGTAAGACCAAAATTTAAAAGAATTTAACTATTCTTTTTTTATTACCTATTCTTATAATAATTTTTAAAGTCAAATTACAGAAAAGTTATAATAGAAGAATGAACTCTCTTATTCCCTTCACCTGATTCATCATCAATAGCTTTCAAGTTGTACACTTTCCAAGTTGTACACTTGAAAGCTTTCTTGTGGGGCCAGCCTGGTGGTACAGCGGTTACGTGCACACATTCCACTTCTCGGTGGCCCAGGGTTCACTGGTTCGGATCCCGGCTGCAGACATGGCACCGCTTGGCAAAAGCCATGCTGTGATAGGTGTCCCACATATAAAGTAGAGGAAGATGGGCACGGATGTTAGCTCAAGGCCAGTCTTCCTCAGCAAAAAGAGGAGAATTGGCAGTAGTTAGCTCAGGGCTGATTTCCTCCTCCTGCCCCCCAAAAAAGAAAGAAAGAAAGAAAACTTTCTTGCTCTCTCTTTCTCTCCTTCCCTCTCCCCGACTTCCCTCCCTCCCTCTTTGTGTGTATGTATAAAGCATATATTAATAATATTCTTTATAGCAGTTTTCCCCAGCCCAGGATACAAGCCATAATAGCACATTGCATTTTAGTTATGTCTTTTTTTGTCTCCTTTAATCTGGAATGGTTTCTGAGCCTTTGTCTTTCATGATAGTGACATTTTGAAGAGTACAGACCAGTTACTCTATAGAATGTTCTCAATTTAGTTTTGTCTGATCTACATATTTAGATTCAGATTATGCATTCGTGGCAAGAATGCTACATAAATGATACTCTGTCTTCAGTGTATCACATCAGGAGGCACATGATGTCAGTTTGTTCACTATTGGTGATATTAACTTAAATTATTTTAGTAAGGTGGGGTCTGCCAAGTTTTGCCTATATTTCATTTTCTTTTTTAATTAATAATAAATCTGTGAGAAGATTCTTTAAGCCTACATAAATAGTCCTGTTTCTTATCAAACTTTGACGTAAGAATTTTAGCATCCCTTCATGATTCTTACCTGACTTATTTTTTACTATCATGGTCACAAAATGGTAAATTAAATGGTGATTTTCTAATTCTGTCCTTTATATTTATTTGTTGGTATTCTGTTATAAGGAAGAACTTTCCCCTTTCCCTTTATTTACTTATTCATTCATTCATTTTTTAGAAATGTAGTGTCAGTATGGACTCCTAGATTCCTATTTTATTCCTATTCAACTGGTTTAAATTGAATACTAATTTTTATTTATTTTGGTGCTCAAATTATTGCAGATTTCGCCAGAGGAAATTCCTTTCAAACCTTTTGCTGTGTGCTTTAGATACTTTTTTGAGTACTTTTATTCTTCTGGTGCAAGAATACTTTCCAGCCTTCCAGAATATGTTTACACCTTCCCCTATGCTAATGAATTTTTAACCTCTGAAAAGTATTAAAAGTTATTGCAATTATATAACACAATAATTATCAGCTTATAAAGAACCCACACTTCAGAATATATTGTAGTATTTCTTCATAC